AAATTTTATTAAAAATTTAAATTTTTTTTTTTTTTTTTTAAAAAAAAGTGCAAACGAGTCCCAATTAAATTTATTAAAAAATTATAAGTGTAAAACAGTTACAAATAAATTATTAAAAATTATAAATAAAAAATTAATTTTTTTTAATTTTTTTTTTAAATATGAGGGTTTATTCATCATTCCACTGCTCTTTATGGAGAAAATGGATAGAAATGATTATTTGTACAATCAAAGGTGTAATTGATGGTGAAATGCCAAAAAAATGGAAAGGTAGGGACATTTTCCATTATAATAATGAAAGGTAGAGACATTATGTGCTAATTACCATTTTAATAATTTATTTGGGGACTTATTTGAGCTTTTTTTAAAAAAATTGGACTATGGTTGCATTTTTTTCTTTTTATTTTATTTAAAGAGAAGAGTATATTCGTCATTTCATAATTTTTAATTGAGAAAATGCATGAAAATGACTTTTTCCACGATGAAATGTGGAAATAAGGGTGAAAATGTCAAAATGAAAAGTAAGGACGTTTTCCACTAACAATGAAAGTTGGGAACGTTATGTGCTAATTACCCTTTAAAAAATGGTATACCGGCAAAATCAATTTTAAATAAATTAAATTAGATTTGATCCGAATTACATGTTAATCATACATGAACATCTTGTGACATATTTGTCCCATACTTTGTTGTCATGTTTGATGTGCAAGATTAAGAATGAGATGCACTTAATATGTTTATTTTCTCCAATCCACCCACCCCAAAATTCCATTCATTACTGGAAGATGAAATGTCTAGTACAGGGAAAAAAGGCGAAGATCCCATCAGAGCGCCTTCTTCTAAGAGGCCATGAGTTTGAATAGGTCGCCCTTATTTTGGTTGAAGTAACCTTCGTCCTAATCAGTTTAAATACACAAACATTCCTTTGGTTCCATAGAACTCATTGGGGACTTCCAACTTCATTAATGACGAACAAATTTTTGGCAATTGGAGGGACTATCAAAGTGAAAAAGCACAACAATGAAAATAAACACCCTAATAAGCAATTGTTCGTGTACCAAACATGCTATATTTATTCATCTTCCATAGAATTGATGCATCAAGAACTTCAACCACATTAATGACATAAACTAAGTTTTGGCATCTAGAGGGGCTTTCCAAATGATAAAGCAGAAGGAAGAAAACAGAGTACTCAAATAAGCAGATTCCCATGTCACAAAACCCAATTTCAAACTTCAAACAAGAGCATGGCAAATATCACTCTACACACAGTTTATTCAAAGGCAAAAACTGACTCCGTATGATAATTGAGAACATAATACAGACAATTCAAGATCAGCAACAATCAGAAATTACTCTCAAACAGTCAAAAGTTTTTTTTTCTATAGTTGCATGCCGTTAACAGTTGCGTCTGACTTCGTCTTAGGAAACCACATTTCTCGACCTGCAGTTATCGCAATAACACAGGGTTCTTTGTATTGATTTATTCCGTCCCATTTTCCTCTTTAGTTTGCTCATGCTTGTCCAGTTGGCTGAAGTTGCCTTTTTGCTTGAAAAGCTGAGTATGATGGTGCCTGCAGTAAAGTTGATGCTCGTGGGCTACATAGTTTGACGGACTTATAACGCAGCCCCCATGGCTACACTTGAAACAAGCCCTGTGGTATGAAGTTCCATCAACAGCCACCTATGAAGTTTTTATCGATCAGAGGCTTTAAATCGATTCACAGAAACTTGAAGAAGAATGAAAAATGTTCCCATGATGGATGCTTGGAATGCAAACAATAAACATGTTTGTATAACTTGTTTTTTCTTATTTTTAAGTAAAAAGAATTACTACAAGTTGAAATTAACTATTAACTTACTATCAAAATAAATAACTTGCTTATTTTCAACTTTGAATATTTTAAAGCTTTCTTATTTTAATTTATAAATGACCATTTCAGCTTTGCCAAACATGTTGTTCCCAAAAAAATTGGTGTGGTTACATGAATCCTTTTAGCACTAGGACGATCCAAAGCCACTAGGACGCTGTTCTTATATTCATCATTGCATATCCATAACAGCCAATCCGTTTCTATTGCATGTTCTTTTTATTACGAGTACCTTTTCAATGGGGTAAACAGTTTTCTTGCAAGCAACACATTTATCCTGAGTTCCTCCAAACATACTTGAAACTTTGCTACTTGTATGGCCCTGCTCAGAAGATCGGTCGGCCCTAGCAGTTTTAGGTGCCCCTGTAAATAATGTATAGAAATGGATTAGGTAAAGCACAAAAATAAGAAAATGTGAATTGGTTAGAATTAACTCGATGGTTCTACGACCTTCAAAACTCTTATCTAAGCTGCCAGTCATTTTGAACAGTTGATCAAAGTGAGGTTTGCAGTACAGAACTCCTTCATAGGAACAGTAATTACTCAGCTGCAGACAAGAGAATGATGTGAAGGTAAAAAACGTGATCTCTACAGAAACTTAACTAAATAAATGCCAATACAACACTGAAGACAGAAAGCACATAGGAAACAGAGAGAAGGTGAACCATAATATCATCGGGCTTTTATGTCCCACAAGTTATGGAGTGAAATGAAGGTTAGTTATTCATCAACTTTTCACTCAAATAACTTCACTTATATGAGATCAAATAATTGCAATAATGGCAGTATAGAAGATCAGATACCTATGGAAAGAAAGGATCATATGGTCTTTCCTTATGGAAAATGACTTTTTGACTAGGTGGACATAAACAATAAATCACATAAACCATGTAGAAATGACTCGCTAAAACCAATTATAGGCAAAATAAACATATTTTCTTCAAGATTAGGCCACCCATTTTAGAAACACTAACAGGGTTGTCTTGAAATAGTATCTTTACTTGCCAATAATGACCAGTCATTGATTGACGTTCAATAAAAATGAGAAACACTTTTAGAAGGTTAGCCGAGGAATTCAAACATAAAGTTCAGAAACATTACTAGTTCATTTTAGTCAACTAAATCCTTTTCAGATGTGCTGTACTGAGGTAAACAAAAATACATATGGAGATATAAACTTCCAAGTTAGTGAAAGAAACTAACTCGAATGTTAAATAGAAGCAACCATGAATAGGCCTGCTAACACAATAAACCCCCCGGTCATCACTTAGTGAATGAGATGAAGATGCATTTGTCACATGAATGTATGCAAATATTTATAAACTGACTAGATAGTTGGTTTATGAATGCTTTCGTATAATGGTTGAATAAATGACCTATTTCACCCTGCAATTGACAAATCAAAATTCAACTGAGTAGTGAGTACAGTTTGTAAAGCATGGTCTATTCCCTCAAGTTGATGTATAAACTTAACAGAAGAAACATAGAGCATATGATGTTCTCGGACAGTATATTCTAATATGAAAATGGACCTCCAGAAAAAAAATGGATATGAAGGAAGAAGTGGCAGAAAACTGTGTTTGCTAGGAGACAAATTGACAATTTCTCAGCAAGAAACCTTATGCTTGTCATGTCAAAGTTCAAGCAGCTATTTTGCTCCTTCAAAAACATACACAAGCAATTTAGAGATCCATATAACAAAGAAAACAGTTTCTTGGAATTATACATCACACCTTGGAAAACAGTCGGCTTCTTGACCGTACAATTTGAATTTGAACCAAATTTTACTGCTAAAGTATTTTCCAAACTGGTAAAAATCAAATACTAATAGTCGAGGACCCTTGCTGAAAACTAAATGATAATAAACGAATGCCTTGATCTTTGTATCATCCATAGAATCAAAACAAAGATAGTTAAATCCATTTGAATAAAACAACTAGCACTCAAATTGAAACACCTAACACAGGATACCATCCGGTCGAACAGTTCAGTCGAAAAACGGCATATGAAATTGACTTATAATCAAATGGATGGAAACTCTTGTCCTAATTACCCACATTAAGAAGAATCAACATCCAATATCCAAACTTTTATACCTTGGAAATCAGAATTCCAACAATCAAGAACCAAGCAACCATATATATCAACAATCAATTCCAATCCTTCAAACCGATGACTTATTAATTCATCAACTTCAAACAAGAACAGTTAATTCAAGAAACAACATAATCTGTACATGTACCAAGTTGTGGGTATATGTATCTATATATCTCTATATAAGTAAAGTTCAAGATAAAAGCAAAGAAGTGAAAAATCAGACCTTGAGGGTACCCTTACAGTGGTGGCATCTAAAACAAGCTTTGTGATAGACCTTGTTGTCAGCAGCAAGTTGATCCACCAAATACACAGTCTTTTCACAGGCCTTGCATTTTTGGGTTGTCCCTGCAAAAGTTGCCATATCCCTTTCTCTGTGCGTAGATCTTGATTCTTGAAAATACCAAAAAATCCCCAAATCGAAATAAGTTTTTACAGTAATTGATGCAAGACAACTGATTTCTCTTTCCTCTGGCATCTAAAACAAGCTTTGTGATAGACCTTGTTGTCAGCAGCAAGTTGATCCACCAAATACACAGTCTTTTCACAGGCCTTGCATTTTTGGGTTGTCCCTGCAAAAGTTGCCATATCCCTTTCTCTGTGCGTAGATCTTGATTCTTGAAAATACCAAAAAATCCCCAAATCGAAATAAGTTTTTACAGAATTTGATGCAAGACAACTGATTTCTCTGTCCTCTGAAAAGGGTTTTGTTTGCCAGGTCAGCCAGTCAGAGTAGTAGTGCAGATTAGCATGTGTTCATCACAGCACTGCCAAGAAGCCACCTTTGACAAATTTGACAAAATTTAGCTGTCCGCCCTTTCGTTCTTTTAAAATACGTTTTTTTTCTTTCATCCTAATCAACAACATATTTTTTTTTGATAAAATAATATTACAAACAAATTTAATATTTTTTCTTATTTTTAACCACACATTCTCCATTAATATACTGTTCCAAAATGCATTTTTATCCAAATAATGGAGCTCAGGTATTTAGTAATATAAAATAAATAAAGTTACCAATGATTTTTTTTATTCAAATGTTTACCATTTTTAACTGTGTTAAAAAAAAAAAGACCATCATGTTTCAAGTTTAGACAAATTCAACGGTTAATTAGTGGAAAGTTTTGTTGTATATTTTCTTATGATAATGTTATAAGTAATATTTATTTTCGAAATAAAAATTCAGTATATAATTATGCCTTGTTGATGTATGAAATATTTAACACAACATGTACAAGATGAAAATATAAGCATTGGTCAAGTGGTAACAAGATAATTTTTATTTTCCTTTTTCGCTTTAAGAGGAAAGAGCATTAGTACAAGAATGGCAATTCTACAGTTTAAATTAAAGTTGAGTTAGTACGGTGAGGATTAAAATCAGATTTTTAGCAAATTTGATAAAAGTCAATTAAATAGTGATTAAAAAATTGAGGATCTCATAAAATACGTAGTTAACATTAATTGTTGACTTTGATTTTGATAAAAATCAAAATTATAATTTCTATTAAACAGGAACTTAATACAAAATTTTCTAAGTTGTCGTGCATTATTCTGGATTCTATTACAGTATCAATATTCAAATATCAACAATAATTTCATAAAATAGTAACCAAATTTTTAGAAGAAAAAATTCAAAACAAGAACCAGAATAGTTCTTTTTCCATATTTTTTGAAAGTGGAAGTGGAGAATTCTAGTATACTTGTTTTAAATGGATGAAAAATAATTGCCTTTTTTTCATTTTTGAAAAAGTCAAGTTTAGTCATGATTAGGTGTGATTTTAATTTTATTTTTGTCACACATCATGTGAGACAGATAGGTAGGGTGGGTGCTTGAATAATGTACAACTTATAGTGCTTTTCAAATATTTGAATATCACTTGCACTTGCACTTGCTTTTTGTTTTTATATTTCATGAAAAAGCTACTTTAGCAATTTAAATATATTTATTTCATTAATTTCCCTCCCTTTGTTAGTTTAGATGATCAGACACATTTATGACTTTCATATGAGTTAATGTTAAATATTTCAAAAAATCTCCTTGAGGACCTATTATCGATTTTATTCATTTATTAATATTATTCAATATTGTAGAAGAGCCGACTACAAGTTGAATGAGTAGACTACAAATGCACGGAAACTGCTAACGATCTGTATTGGCTTCATGAAAATTGATCAAAAGAATCCAACCTTAACAATATGTTTAATAATATGAACGAAATATCACTTGACACTGTCAATAAATAAAAAGAACCTAAAATTTTGTTCATTAGATTATTCATTCATTTTCCGTACTGCATAAAAAACATTATCTCGAATATACCCACCGATGAATTCATCTAACAGTACTTGAATAAAAATTGGAAAACTAATTCAAGCTACATTCAACTGCCATTACACTTTGTTAATTCAATTAGTTGCTTGAAAATATCACGCTACTTTATCCTCAAAATCACTAGCCATTGGGGTCCCAAAAAATGTATGTCGTACCATATCATCATAATGTCCATTTCCCTGGCCTAGTAAATATTTTGCATCATGGAAAACGGCGTTAATGTCGGGGGCTTCCACAGTCATGCATTCTCTTTCGCCTGATTACGAGCTTCTTCTCGCATTGCCGCTTTGATATAAATCTCAAGCAGCATCCTGTAACAAAGGTAAAGGATAGCAAGGGGACGGATATGGGGGTAGCCCGGTCCAGCCCCCAACCTAATGAATTTTTTTCAGTAGAATTTTTATTTTTTTTATTTTTTTGTAAAAAAAATTTTGTTGTGTAATTTTTTTTCGAGGAAATTGCACCTAGACCTGGTTTTAGAATACCATTTTCATAAATCATGAATCAAGTTTCACATTACAAAAATCAAGTTTTAATTAATAATTTAAAAACATATTTTAATTTTATAT